CTGTTCTACCCTAGCGCCAGCGTTCCTGAAAGAGACTCTTCCTCGGCGCTCCCCGGGTTTTCCACAACGTGCATGGGGTTCCGTGTTTTATCGCAAAACTCGGGTACACCACTTGCGCGTCTCTCACACAGTTCATTGAGGATTGTCTGTGTGTGGAGTTTGCACCTCAGTTCCGTCTCCAAGGCGGTTTTCTCGGCTACTGCGCAGAGTGATTTACATGTCACGTGTCAAGTACTCGGACTGTCAACAACTCCGACCGGATTTAGGTCAACTTACCATGGCAAGGGGTGCCATGTATTTCTACAGATTGGTTTCCATGTCTACCTGTACGCTTGGTGATACCACTCAACCAGGCGCCTGTCGCAGTCCATCCATGCACGGATGTTGGAAACAATAGACCTCCTCTACCAACACGGCTGTCACGAGGAACCTTGTTTCATTAACCCTTCGCTATAAGAACGATAGCGCCTATAGGCGTTCAAGGGATGGAAAAGATCGCCTTCCTTCGTCCGGTTTGATCTTTTCGACTACGACACCTTCCTATCTTCCGCCTTGACTACCGGACACAGTGTCGATTTGATACTTAAAGTCCCTCGGCCGTCCCACTGACCCCTGTTGCATACCTGCCTCGTATCGTGTTGTCGTCCTCCATCGTCACCTCGATATAAGAACAGGAGTACTTATACGCCGCTTCAGGGATGAAAACGATCTCATTACTTCGTGCAATGGCCATATTGCCTCGGCTTCCTACTACCCGGTTACGTCGATGCCCCGGCGGTCGATTGTGAAGCTGGTTTACTTCGTCTACTTGAGGTTGGCTCGCAGGCGATCACACCTTTTTCCGAATCGTACCGACGGTACGCAATCGCAGACCCCTGTTGCTGACTACCTCCCCTGCCACCTTGTCAGTGGCTAGTGGCCCACACCAGCCCACATTGTGACCACCTGTGATCCAGAGATCAACACCATTGGCACAGCAACAGCCTCTAGATAAAGGCTTATCCAGGACGTCACTTGCTGACAGTGCATTCTCGGTCACGCCCTGTTGATCGTGTCCACTGACAACGTCACCGTAGTGTGGTGTTTGCGGACCCAGAGTACACGCCCCTCTCCCGGCGCTACAAACTCAACCGGCGCCCCCGAGAATCACCATCTTCGGCGTTCCAGGCGCCTCAAGCTCTCCGACGCCTCACGCTTTCCGGCGCCTCGGGCCAGATTATGTCAAACGGTCGACACCCCAACCCTAGATCTGTTTGCCTCATATCTGAATGTGGCCAGCTGTCGTCTTCCATTCCACCTGTGCCGGATACGACCGCTGTGGCAGTCGAAGCCTTCCATCGTTCCTGAGAAGGATTACGCGCGTACGCTTTTCCGACTCCGGTTCTCCCTCCCACGGTTCTTCAGAGATCCAGGCCACTCGACCCCTGCCATTGACTTTGGTCTCGCCTTATTGGTCAGCCAGAAGTTGGGTTATCGACCTCCGAAACATAGCCAGAGACAACCCCTGGAACTTCCGGTGTGGTCCAACCTTCTGCTCCATCCACACGGTCTGTTGCCACACCCTCATACCCGCATGTTATCGTCTGCACGCCTGACACACATGCAGAAAGCCAAGGGCTATTCGGCTAGAGCGACCAAGGCTAATGCTTCAGCCCACCGTCCATCTACAGGGGGACTGTATGCTGATAAATGATGCTTGTTCCAGGCATTTTGTTCTGACAAACACCAGGATCCGATGACAGCGTCACCACAGATCCTGGATCACTTCCTACTGTACTTGCGTAGCACCCGTCGGTTGAAGGGCTTACCACCCCCACATACCTGGTCGCCATCTACTCCGTTCTGGCCATCCCGGACGATCGGAGAAAGACGAAAATTCCCGACCTACGGGCCTGGCTGCGCTCATTCAGTCTTGAAGACCTGAAGGCCAAGTTCGGACCGCCTGCGTTGGATCTGAATGTGGTCTTCAATGCCCTTCGAACCACTCCCCTCGTCTTCCTTCTACGACCTTAAGTAGAAGACGGGTGTTTCTACTGGTTTTGACTACTGCCGCTCGAGTCCATGTACAGCACGCCCTCGACGTCTCCCGTGCCCGGTTCGAATGCGGTACCCAGGGCGCCGTTCATCATGGACCGCTGTGGCAGTCGAAGCCTTCCATCGTTCCTGAGAAGGATTACGCGCGTACGCTTTTCCGACTCCGGTTCTCCCTCCCACGGTTCTTCAGAGATCCAGGCCACTCGACCCCTGCCATTGACTTTGGTCTCGCCTTATTGGTCAGCCAGAAGTTGGGTTATCGACCTCCGAAACATAGCCAGAGACAACCCCTGGAACTTCCGGTGTGGTCCAACCTTCTGCTCCATCCACACGGTCTGTTGCCACACCCTCATACCCGCATGTTATCGTCTGCACGCCTGACACACATGCAGAAAGCCAAGGGCTATTCGGCTAGAGCAACCAAGGCTAATGCTTCAGCCCACCGTCCATCTACAGGGGGACTGTATGCTGATAAATGATGCTTGTTCCAGGCATTTTGTTCTGACAAACACCAGGATCCGATGACAGCGTCACCACAGATCCTGGATCACTTCCTACTGTACTTGCGTAGCACCCGTCGGTTGAAGGGCTTACCACCCCCACATACCTGGTCGCCATCTACTCCGTTCTGGCCATCCCGGACGATCGGAGAAAGACGAAAATTCCCGACCTACGGGCCTGGCTGCGCTCATTCAGTCTTGAAGACCTGAAGGCCAAGTTCGGACCGCCTGCGTTGGATCTGAATGTGGTCTTCAACGCCCTTCGAACCACTCCCCTCGTCTTCCTTCTACGACCTTAAGTAGAAGACGGGTGTTTCTACTGGTTTTGACTACTGCCGCTCGAGTCCATGTACAGCACGCCCTCGACGTCTCCCGTGCCCGGTTCGAATGCGGTACCCAGGGCGCCGTTCATCATGGACCGTACTGGTACGTCAGCGTAAAGACTCAACTCCCAGGACAGCCTGATAGATCATTCCTTGTCCCCTCCCCCCTCGTCCAGTGTGGGTGCCGAGAATGAGGATGAGCGTCATTATGCCCAGTAAGGGCACTGAAGGTTATTCTACGATCTAAAGACTCCGGGCGGTCATCCTTAAAGCTTATGAGCCGCCGGATTGGACCCTCCCCCCAAAGGCTATCACCTGAAATAAAATGAGATCAGGGCGATCGTATTTACACTGGTTCTTCACGGTATACTGTTCCATCCAGTCGTTCAGGGAAGCCTGTTCGTGGCGATCGGACACTGCCTTCACCAACCACTACTTCCGTGATGTAGCCTTGAAAGTTGTCGCCGGCGTTCACAGTTTTGGTCCCTGGTTGTAGCCCAACAGGTCATCTATCTCCGACGCCACTGATTCTCCGATACCCTGAGCGGGGCCCGTCGACCTCTCTGGTGTTTATCACCCCAGACGAGACGGCTCTCTTGCGTTCCGCATTTGCTCTTAGGTCAGTTTTAGTTTTGGGTTACCCGACTCATTCTATTGCTGTCACCTGTCCGGGTTTTACTTTTTGCATCAACTCTCGTTTCCTGACGACAGGAATGGTAGTTGATGTGGACACCGGCGCCGACGCCAACGCCGCTGCTTCTCTGATACCTGAGCGGTGCCCGTCGACCTCACCGGTGTTCCTTGCCTCCAGCCTAGAGGGCTCTCCTGCGTTTCACATTCGCTCTTGGGATTGGTCGTAGATTTTGCCGCCGACGCCGCTGATTCTTCGATTCCCTGAGCGGGGCCCGTCGAACTCTCTGGTGTTTATCGCCTCAGATTAGAGGGCTCTACTGCGTTTCGCTTTCGCTCTTCGGTAAGTTATATATTTTGGCTACACGCCTCATTGTATTTCGGTTACCTATTCGGGCGTTTCGTTTTTGCATCGACTCTTGTTTCCTGAAGACAGGAATGGTCGGAGATGTTCCGGTCATCACTTGTATGCGGTGCGGATTCATCGGACCTTGACGAGGGTTTAATATGGTTCACATCTGCAGGTATGCCCACCGGCCGTGCCGTCTGATAAAGATGCAATACGGAGTAATGCAGGATAAGTTAAAAAATTTAGTAAAATCTAAATATTTTTTACATTTGTATACTTATCCTGCATTACGAAGTCTAAGTGCCCTCCCTTTCGCTACGCTACCTCCCCACGAAGTTTCAGATGTTATGTTTAAAGCAGTTATGTCTTTTGGTGTGACGTCATGACTTCCGGGTCACGTGCCGACTGTGAGAGGGCGCTGCCTCCTGGGCTGGTTGGGACAACTTTCTTCAGCAGCTGGATCTCACACAGTTCGTCTCTCTGTCAAAGACAGCAGTAAATGCAATACGGAGTAATGCAGGATAAGTATACAAATGTAAAAAATATTTAGATTTTACTAATATTTATTATTCCGCTGATTTTTGTACCAGAACTAGAAATATAATAACTGCTTGTCCGATTACTTTCAAACCTTGCATGTATCTGCTGCTTTAGTTCCTTGACATTTTTTGTTCTTTGACTTTGGTCATTGGTCAAGTGGTTTGGCAGCCATATTGGATTCAAGGTTTTCACAGGGTTTTTTGGGTACCTGTCTTCAAATCCTATCTCCTTTGGATCCTCAGCATGAAATGCTTTCAAACTTTCTGAGAATTGTCTCAAACTCATCAAACTCTTTTAGCCCTTTTTGGATATCTTTCTTAGTGACGGCCCTATTGGATTTTGATTTTGATGATTTTTTTTCACTGAAATTTTACTTTAAAGATCATATCTTGTAAGATTCTCCACAGAAACTATTGAAAGTTTACATAAAGTTAGTTGGACATATGTGACTCATCTTTTGTTCTTGGTTGCATACTAAAAGTAACACTTATATTATTATGATGATGATGATGATGATGATGTAATAATTATATATGCTATTATTACTTTAATGTTGTCCAGATTCTTACTGACTGACAAATAGAAGTTTAATACTTGAATGATATTGTTTGTGTGTTGTTTCAGCGGACTGGTTTGAAAGTGTTTCCGGTGACCGCAGGACGGACAAAATCCAGGAGAAAGAGTTAAGCAGGATGGTGCAGGCTTTTGGCAATGGATGGGAATTCATCGCCACAGAACTTAATTTGTCCAAAGCCCAAATTGAACAGGCCAAATTATCTGCCCCGACACCTTACATGCAGATGTTTAATGTGTTTTTGAAGTGGAAACAGCGCGAGGCAGGGCGAGCCACCTTCCAGGCATTTGTGAAGGCACTGCGGGCCTGCGAGGACAAATGCACTATAGACTGGGACATTGTCAAGCATGTAGTGCTAAACTCACACTGACACATGACACAAGAGTGCATCCTTGGTAATGCAGGGTATTGTATTTCTATTCTGTTATGATTAACACCCTGCAAATACCTGGACCTTGGTGGATCCTCTAGTATGCAGGACCCTATTCCACAAAGACATCTTAGCGTTGAGACGACAGTAACCCCTGATATATTAACTTTGATCTATGATAGTTTAGCTTTGTAGATTATGCCCCAGGGAATTATATCTCGTATCACTAACATAGCACAGGATTTCTGTCACTCATGAACTTGAAATTTACAACCAATCAAAATGACTCCTCTGACTGAGAGTGTGGCATTCATCTACATTTGTTGATATATTTGAAGTAAAGTTGTTTACATCAAATTAAAAAACTGTTGGAGATACCATCAGCTGTTTAGCTGGAAGATATGTATTTAGATGAAGACCACGTGTACACATGTTCGAGATTGAACGCAACAAGACAAGAACTAATAATCGCCACTTGTTTCAATCATGAAAGAACTGTTATTAAATTGGAGAGCTAGTTTTAGTATTTTAGAACAAAGCTATTTAGAAAATGGGTCCAGGTTACTAATCCTATTGGAATAGAGATATTATACCATGTACAATCAAGCATATTTTGCTTAGCGTGCTTCAGCAGCCAACTGAACTGTTATACGCAGGCAGACTAACATGCAGTCCCTGAAATAACGTTCTACATATGGTCAAACATAAATCACTCTACAAGTAAATGCACAAGTATTATAGGAACCCCCAAGTCGCTTGATTTCAGCTGAGGAGGAGAAGTGTATATGCTGCTTGAGCTGAGAATGGTATGAGATTTTATGAAATTTATGCTCCAGGAGAGACAAAGATGCAGGCTTAAACAGGAGTGAAGTTTGGTCAGTACACTATGCATACAGAACTTCTCAAAGTACGCTGTTTTTAGAAGAAATGTCACATTTTATATGTATGCTTTTTAAGATGTTTAGATCTCTAAGAAAGATCACCCACTACACCAAAGTCATCAGTGTCAAACTGCATTCTCGTCTACCTGGGGAGTGAGTGTACAATGAATGATTGGTTAAAGGTGTATCATGTTTATAAGATGTCAGTCAGATTCCTGTTTTCCACTTTGATACTTGTACAAATGACCCCCTTTATATTTTTTATGCATGTAGCTTATGTTATGCTCTGTTTTAAAAATGATCCATGTTGTACTTGTGTTTTGCAGATGCTTCATACTTACCATGGCTATTGTTTCATAGTTGTGAAGTGATTATCCATATGAATTAACTGTGATATTTTTGCACGAATGACTGACTTGCATCATACTCTATAAGCTTGAAGTTAGACTTATGTTTTACCCGGGAGCAGTGAGACATGACCTTGACCCCTGATGCCTGCTTATTTCACTTTTGTACCTATGCCCATATATGGATCCCAGTGCTGCAACTTTGTGTTAGAACTTCTTGGACTTTAAGTGGTGACGCTGTAGCCTATCTGTCTTTAGCAATAGTGACAACAGTGCCTTCGTAGACAACCTACACATATAATATTGATTTACATTGCCAAATGAGGGCATGGGTGGGCAAGTCATCTGCAATTTGCTGTACAGAGTTGTCAGAAACCTATGATCGTGGGTTCGAATCCCATAATACCAAGATCGCCCTGATTATGTTTCTAGGTTTGTCAACACCATACCAGTGCTTGTGGGTTTCACCTATTTGGTAACGGTCCGAGACCTGCATCACTTCGGGCATTCTTCCCACAATAACCTGACATGCCGTGATACAGAATTCTGATCAAAGCGGCTTTAAACCCAATTCACTCACTCACTCACTCACTGCAAAACATTGTGCAGCAACAGACCTTCACATTTTCAGAGCAAGTCAGTAGATGATTATTAATGATTATTAACAAAATGATTAACATGATTAACAAAATGTCATTGTACTATTGGCCTCGTGGCCACATATACGAAATAGATCTGTCTGTCTGTCTGTCTTTAAATGATTATAGATGATTAGAGACTGGCTCTGATTATTCGATGAAGGTAATGTAAATTATAGAAGACTCTTGTCCAATCACAGATTGCGGTTTGATACATTGCAGAGAGTGCATCGTTTTAACAGATTGTGATGCATGTTTCAAGCAGCATATTTAGTAGGATTAGAATACTTGAGCCATAATATCATCCATCTCATGAACTCTGTCAAATATTATTCTATACTTTGTCTATTTTATCATCTGGAGTGAGAATCAGTTGATTCCAAGACTACATGCATTATATTGGACACCAGAAAACTTGCTCAGTCAGAAAAATTTTGTTGACGCAATTATCAACATCCTCCTCATCATCATTATAAGTTAAAGTGTATGTTACTAATGGATAGTTGTTTGTTGATGAGGTCACGTATACAGTCAAGTCCCGTTAATCCGACATGGTTGGTTGCATATGATTATGTCGGATTAACGAGTATGTTGGATAAACAAAATTAAGTTGTATCAGCGTTCGTGTATGTGTTTGATAAATCCTGTTGAATGATATAAACAGGTTTGTCGAGTAATCTTGTACAATGACTTACTAAGTTCACATATGTCTATGTGACTTTTTAAATTTTAAGTGAAAAGTTTTCCTGTGTAATTTCTTGGTTTGACTTTGTTGTAGTATAACTTTGTCATGAATTCTGGAATAAATCAGATCAATTGTCATCAAGAATAATATGGACGTAGCATGTTTCCTTTTTACTCGTTTACAGCAACTTTTATTCATGATATTCTGATGGGAAGGAATAAGGCAATAAATATAGGGAAATAAGCGTCACTGTCAGCATGGTCAGTACTGCTAAAATAGCGCACATACAAATTCAACACTTGTCAGAATCAAATGTTGAGATGTGTTTGTGTGCATTGTTTCCAACGAGTTTTTGGTAGACAAAACCAGAACCCATGATAGCATATCATTTTAGTCTAAAACTAATGGTCCCCTTATTCATTTCCATCAGTGTGTATACAGTTAGCACTTGTGTATTTCCATATTTCCTGTGCACCTTACATTCCATCATCAGATGATGTAGAGACTGGTATGGTCAGACGAAATTAACCAAGAAACCACCCAATCCACTTAACCATCTCTCAGGACAAGGGTCACTGGGGTTTTTTTCTGACTTGGAATCCCCTGTGAGTATTTTTTACTGAAAATATGCTGTAAATAAACCTGATAAAAGAACATCTCTTATTTGTCATATATGTAGTAATGGATCATTACAACCCGTGAAGATCCAGGGTAGAATAGGTCTTCAGCAACCCATGCTTGCTGTATATTGGATTATGCTTGTCATAACAGGCGACTAGTAGGATCGGGTGGGATTGATTGATGCATGTCATCCGTTTTTGTGTAGAACGATCCTCATGATGTCAAATACTGGATTGTCTGGTCCAGACTCGATTATTTACAGACCATCGTCATATAGCTGGAATATTGCTGAGTGCGGCATTAAACAACAAACAAACAAAGTATGTCATTACAAAACTATCAAACAGGCATCCATCTTCTTTGACATTGTAAGGAGTGTTAAGCGAAGAACTTTATCAGCTTTTTGCAAAAGGGTTGTATTTTGTGATTTAATAATTCATGTTCAGTAATTGTGTAATTTTGTTGTGTATATCACCAAATGAGTAACTCATAGTGTTGCTGAACATTTACCTGTATACCCAATTGTCTATAACATTTGTGAATAGTACTCTTCAAAACGGGATGAACACCCCATCTCCGGACCCAATGTTGACCACCATCTTCCCGAGGCAAGAGAGTTAACTGAATATAAAAGTCCAGTTTCCACCCTTGCCGAACTAGGCTGGTATTATCATGATTATGGAGTTACATTTAGCCTGGACTAACAAGTCTATGCATAGTCCAATCAAAATCTAGCAACGAAATCGAAATCCGGTTCAGAAACTGTTGTGCAGATTTCGGTCGATTGCAGGATTTGCAAAGTATGTGCAACGCAAACTCGCCAACAGATATTTTCCAAACCTTTTCATGTTTTTAATCAAGGTGCTTGCAGGATTTGATGCACTTCGCAATGTAAGACCTGTTTTATCACAATATAGATCTTAATTATTGATCAGATCGTCTTGACTAGGTGCTGCCATTTTGTTTAAAACCAATGCAAGTGATGGAATTGGATTGGTCCATAGGAGAGGCTTAGAAGGGACATAACTCATAATAACCATTGGTAGCGCTACAATCAAGCCCAGAAATTCCAGTCTAGTTCAGCAAGGGTGGAAACTGGACTTTTAAAGTCAGTTAACTCTCTTGCCTCGGGAGGGGCGGTCGGGTAGCCTAGTGGTTAAAGCGTCCCTCGTCACGCCGAAGACCCGAGTTCGATTCCCGACATGGGTACAATGTGTGAAGCCCATTTCTGGTGTCCCCCGCCGTGATATTGCTGGAATATTGCTAAAAGCAACGTAAAACCAAACTCACACACTCACTCTTGCCTCGGGAAGATACCATGGGACAACTGTCAGCTTTGACAATCATCAGTTTTGCATACACGATATTGTTGAAGCAATATGTAGAGTAGCTCCGGGATATGCCCCACCAGACATAGCGCACCATTTGTGGGATGTAATCTGAGTGCTGATTAATCTCGGAACTGACTAGTTTCCCTAGGACTGAAACCAGCCCATGGCTCGATGCGTTGGTTAAAAGTAAAAGGTACACTGCAAAACATGTATGTGTTTAGAATTGATGTAGGAATGGTGTGTAATCAAACGCATGGAGCACTGACCGTGAGCTGTGACGAGGCTGATTGTGTATCATCCTGTACAAATATTCTCCCTCTCTTGACCATTGGTTTGTCTGGTCCCAGCTTTACATCGTGCCAACTTCATCCATTATCCTGCTCAGTCATCTCAGTTGCCTCAAATCGGCGTGCAGAGTTGCATTTCGTAACCTTGTTCCTGGGTTTGAATCCTGGTTCAACCTGGTTGTTTCTGGGTTTGTCAGCACAATACCTGTGTTCATGGGTTTCACCAAAGGGGTAAACATGCAAGATCTGCATCATATTTCAGGCTTACTTTTCACTACTGTTCAAACCCAACTCACTCACTCACTCTCAAGATGCAATAACCTGGTAATATATGACACTGACTGGCTGACAAGTTGAGTTCGTGGACAAGTGTGAGTTTTCACACAGATTCACTAGCCATGTTGGTTTGTGCGTGTGTGTATGATGAGATTGTCACTGTTTTAGTAGTGTGTATCTGTAGGACGACTCGGGAAACAATGGGGAGTCGAACCAAATCTTGAGTATATTGAGGTACCTTTATGTATGTAATGAGATTGGTATGTATATATATTTGCTTTAAGCTTGTGGTGTGATGAGAGAAGGCCTCACCAACTATGCTGGCTCAGTAAGAAGCGACCAAACCAGCTCTTCTTATTGCGTCTGTTTATTGAGATGAGAACAACTCACTCACAAGCCAGGATAAAGGCTTTTTGGAAAAGGGAGGTGCCAGTCCCATATGAATTATGCTAAAATTACCAAAACTATGCAGCTAAAATTGCACATTTCTGCGGTTAAAAAATAACCATTTCCCCCTCAATAAGGCTTAAAAAAATAAAAGAATTGGTTCTTGGGCAATGACTTTTGAAAATATAGTGCAGGCGGGCATTGTTTTCTTTATTGGGGCTTGTTCAAACTAGTATGTAACCAAATAAACAGTTGTGAACCATCAACCTGGGAAAGGGCAAATCTTTCTGCAATAGAGGAATCGCAGACTTCTGGTACTGATCTAACATAAACACTGATAAAACATGTTAAATGAATACAAATTAACTTACAAAACAATTTGGATTTGGTATTTGGTATTATTATTGAAAACATATAACCAAATGATTTAGTTTTAGTTTTTTATCAGTTCATATGTTTATCATGCTTCAAACAGTGGGAGGGGTGAACACTCGTGGATCCTACATCCGCAGATGCAGGCGTGAAGCTTCAATCAACTTGATTCAGTAAAATCTGGTGTTGTAATTCTGGATGTAAGTACTGCAGCTGAAATTCCACATACATCAGTGTGATAAGACAAGCAGGTATGTTTGGTTTATTGCCGCACTGAACTGTATTTCGGCTAGATCACAGCATGTTTCCAAGTCACACAACTGGTTACCTGTTTAGACTTCAGTGAAACCAAGGAGCTTTGGGATGGTGCTGAACTGCATCACTGGATCCTGGTAAGGGGACACAACTCAAGGTTATTCAACACCAAGCGCCGGCCGTAAAACCATACTCACACAGTACCCGAACATGTCCTATGAGCCAACAAATGAGGAGCAAAGGTGGTTTACAAAGTGCATCACTGGATCTATAGCTGTCCATTTCACTTGTCCATGATAACATACCATAGTCTGTTGCTCATCATCTAATTTGTAAGTTAACAACTACTACAATAATCATCAGTATTGACTGACTGACTGACTGACTGACTGACTGAATAACAGGGTGTATGGCTTAGCCTAAATAATTGCAGGCCTCATAATTATTCAGGAATAACAAGAGTTTGACACTAACGTGGCTATATCCCCCGCCCCTGTTGCAGAATTTATGACATAATTAAATTTAAACAAACACTAACCTTTTTTAACCGATAAATATAATAAACTAAAACCCAGCTCATCTGCTCATCTTATTCCAACACATGTTCATGACACTACCAGCTTGCTGCTTTCTTTCTTCAACTGAAATAAGGAATTGTACAGACAGACCAAAATTGTTTATTGTAGTCTTTTATTTCATATTTTTGCACTTAATTACTCATCACATTCACACATCCTGAGCAAATGCAGGTATAAAATGTAATCAATATAAAATAAAACACATCTATAAAAATATATATATTTGCTGTAAGCATGTTAAGATCCATTGTAGCTACATCACGATGGTGGAAATATAATGAACAGAACTAAACCCACTCCTGTATGAATGGAGCTACATTGACAGTACTAGACGTTACTAAAACATTTGAGACCCATTTCTCTTTTAAGTGCTTTATATAAGACTATTAGCAGTTGTATAACAAAGAGGATAAAAAAGACACTGGATTTTCCTTAGCCACAATTTATCCAAGGAAGGTACTTCTTACAAGACATTATTTTTGAAACAGAAAGATTATATAAGAAAGTTTTATCTGAATGATTCATTATGAGGGTTCTAGATATATTTGGTTTTGGTACTTGTATGCAAAAATGGATGAATATCTTGATCTCGAATTCTAGTTCTAGTAGAAATGGTAGAAATGTGTATCTTTGATTATGTCTATGGTCACATTTCATCAACATCAGTTCAACAATCCTCTTCAACAATCAATCCTCATCAACAATCAATCCTCATCAACAATCCTCTTTAACAATCAATCCTCTTCAACAATCCTCATCAACAATCCTCTTTAACAATCAATCCTCTTTAACAATCAATCCTCATCAACAATCCTCATCAACAATCCTTGTCAATAATCCACTCAAAACATGGTGGCCACTGGGTTCATATCAGACCCCGGTCATGGAATCAAGACATAATACTCTGGATACTCAAGAATCACCTGACCTTGGTTCCAGTGACAGTTTGATACAAGAAGGCTGGAACTGGCACTGATACACTGGGCCACCCATTACCATACTTGACCAACACAAACTGACCAGTACCTCTGTCTTTTTCCAGTAACAGCGCTGGTTCATTGAACACCATGCCTGCATCTGGAGATGATCTAAGTAATCTAATTCCTGATGTGAAGTCACAGCAAGACGATGCGTAGAATGGGATTCAAACTGGGACTCCAAGTCACTTGCTGCTGACTGTCGGGATGCTGACATCTCTACTCTGCTACTGGGGTGGACTCATCTTTGCGAGGCAAGGGAGTTAACCAACCAAAAAGTCCAGTTGCCCCCCTTGCCAAACTAGGCTGGTACTCCGGAGTTACATTTTGGATGGACTAACGAGTCCATGCATAGTCCAATCAAAATCGAATAACGATCTAGTTTGTAAACAATATGGATTTCAACGTGCAGATTTCGGTCGGCTGCAGGATTTTCAGGATCGACAGATATTTTGAAAATCTTTTATTGTTTTTAATTAACGTGCTCATGTGAGTTGATGCACCTCACGGGGTAAGTGATATGAGAGGTGAAATCTGACTGGTCAATAGGAGGGACGTAGATGGGACCTAACTTGTTAAATCACCACTGGTGGCGCTACGATCGAACCTGGAAATTCCTGCCTGGTTCGGAAAGGGTAGAAACTGGACTTTTAAAGTCAGTTAACTCCCTTGCCTCGGGGAGATGGGGTGGGCAAAGCATTTTGGAAACATGCCATAAGCTAGGTTAGAAGGTCCTGGTGAATCGTGATCGAAGGACTTGTTGTTTCCTCTTCAATCTAGTAAATATGCCACACAGGCCACATGTTGAATACCCCTTGAAAAGTATTGGTCCTGGTACATGTATAACTATTGCCGACATATGATTTTCTAATTCCTCCTTCAGTTAAGGTATGACACTTGAACAACTGAATTGCATGAATAACAAAGGTCACTGAGATGTCCCAGCAATTGGCAAATTTGAGCTCATATTCTCAAAGTAACCATAGTAACAAAACATTTCTCAACAAAGCTCAGCTGCCTCAACATCAGACGATGAAACTGGTGACTGTAAATCTTGCAGTAACTTATCTGCTATAAATTCCTGCTGTGTGGTACGCAATGCAGTTAAAAACTTTTCAAAAGCATCGGGACCTCTTCTTACGAGTAAGTTAAAGAATTCGGTAAGTTTCTGTCTTGCTATTGTTTTACTGTCAATCAAATCCAGCATGTCTTGGGAAAGTACCTTCTCCTGAAACAGATAGTCTGTCACACCTGTATGTATGATAACTCGTTCCAACAAATATAACCAGTTTCTTCGTATCACTTCCCGATGAGCCTCTTCCATTATGACAAACCTGTTAATGAAAAACAGTCATTTAAGAGTAATCAAAGCCAAAGTTTCTACAAGGGCACAATAACGTGATTGAAACATCTCATCCAAATATTTTGAAACCAATACTAATGGGTTGCAGTAATTTTGTAACCCAAATGAATTCGTACCCTTAGAAGTTTCGTACCCCAAGAAAATTTGTGACCCTAAAGCTTAGAAACTTTGTAACCCTATTTTGTATTTCTAAATATTTGTTCATAAGACAGTACTATTGTTGGATTATAGTTTTCCAACCATACTTTTCAGACGGCCGTGCAATTTCTCTCGCTATAACGAGTTGTGTGATGTCACAGTCCATTCATCACATAGGGAATTTTAGGACAAAACAGAAGCAGTTGAGATTTTATAAAACAAATTTATCACCACGAATCAATGCACTCACATTTATAAAGTCAGCCATTCATTCTGTATAACATTCCCGACAAAGTACATACACATACAACAATCACCAACACACAATCAAACCCATGGTAGTAAAACAACAACCAATATCCCAATTCTGTTGATCGAGGATCAATCCCTTCATAGTCTGGTCCAGACGTTTATTATTTGATTGTTTTAATTTCCATCCATCAAGGAGACCAGAAGTAATTGTCAACTGAAACAAGTGTTAATCTTATTGTTAATTATTATTAATTTTTTTTGTTGTTGTCTAAGTTAATATTTTATATAGCTTACTTCATTGCTTGTAGCATAGTGTTATGAATTTACTTTCGATTTGGGTACGAAATTTCTTATTTCTATTTTCTAGAGGTGTGAATTCATTTGGGTTACAAATTTACATACACCCCTAAGCATAAGTACCCAATTGGCGGCCCTGATTTATCACAAAGTGCCTTAGGCGCTCACTTGTGGTATGTCAAACCTCTTGATGCAATTATTTCAATTTCAAAAAGTTACTTTGGTTGCCATAAAAATAAAATAATAAAATCGACAATTACGAGTTTCTGGGTATGACAAAGTCTAGACCTGGTGCATTATAACATCTTTCACTTATTTCTTATTTGGACATCAAATCCTGACTTTTATTCTATTTTGTCAAACCAAAGACGTATCTATCTATCTATCTATCTATCTAATACTCTATGTCTACAAATCTACAAATCTGAACTTCTCAACACGGACGTACGGTACCCATTTTCACACATGTTGGATCTAATAATAACTTGCTAGACTTACTTCCAAACAGCGCTGAGAGATGGAATAACGTGTTGTCACACAGTACCAGTGAAACCAATCGAAACCGAAAGGAGATCTAAGTCATATCTTATTTCTATCGACAGTGGATAAGCTGGGCTCTGTCTATTCATATCATAATTACGAAAGTTGACGAAGCGCAGAAGGAATCGTGAAACAGGTTTAGTTGTAAGCTCCTGTCCAGCGCGTGACACCTTCGTTACACTCTTGGTAACATAGCTCCGCGAACGGACTATCGCTGTGAGGAGCTTGGTTTAGTCGGACGTAGGGGAAGTAACTCTCATGACAATCTCTGTCAGCATGGCTGCAAGTTGTTCGAGGTTTGCGGTACTGCATTCACTTTTTCGAAGAAACCGGCTTCAAGGTGAATTAGAAATGTATTTTTGCACGAGTTGCCTATTGGTTCTTTAGGTCAACATTAGCGCCTGAAATCATAAGCATGTTTCAGATGTTTCTACGCGTATTTCCATGATCGTCATAACATTGATTGGACATGTGAAGATCCAGGGTAGAATAGGTCTAAAGCAACCCATGCTTGTCCCCTGTGAAGATCCGGGGTAGAATTGGGTCTTCAGCAACCAATGCTTGTCCCCCTGTGAAGATCCGGGGTACAACAGGTCTTCCCCAACCCATGCTTGCCGTAAAAGGTAGTTTTGGAAAAATATACAGTGCAATTAAATGCATCTAGGAGCATGATAAAAGTGCAAAGGTAATTATTGAGAGGTCAGTGGTTTTTGAAGCACTAATGTACTGAAAATAAGTACACTCCCCAAACCATGCTAATGCATGTCAGAACTGTGAGGATTCTCGTAGAATAGGTCTGCAGCAACCTATGCTTGCCGTAAAAGACGACTATGCTTGTCGTGAGAGGCAACTTATGGGTTTGGTTGGTCAGGCTCGCTGACTTGGTTGATGCATGTCATCACATTCCAATTGCGTTGATCGATGCTCATGATGTCAATCACTGGATTGTCTGGTCCAGACTCTATTATTTACAGAATATATAGCTGGAATATTGCCGAGTCCAGTTTTGAACAACTAATAAACCATGCAAACTGGAATGATTCAGTTATCTTTTGTACGAAGCATTTAAAGTGCAATGCAGATTTGGATCAGGAATCTATCAGGCAATTTGGGCAAAACTAAATTTTTAAACTTATCCAATCTCACACTATGCATTTCTTCTTTCTTCTTCGATACTATGTGGAAACGTGCTTGAACCATGTTTCCAGCTTCTAAAACAGAAAACCTCACCTGAACACAACCCAGCATGCCCCAAGTTACTGACTAGTAACTGGGTGAGTTACATGCTCCGTGCATGGTAACCTTACACGGTAACACTACACGAGCTGATGACATGTGTCTCTCTGTCAGCTCATCCTCCTTGTAGAGCGATCAGGCTAGAGGAACTGTGATGTGGGGATGGTCGGATGGGCATATCGCTTGTGAGATACAATAAGTATATAAATATGCAATTTAGAATAAAATTTCCAAATTATTAAACTTATCCTATCTTACACTATTCATTTTATCCCAGGATTGGACGTCGGGCTGCAGATACCCGAGCCTGTATTGACTACAACAGTGAGACAAACATGAGGAAGATGGAGATAAACAGTGCAATAATAAAATATTTAAAACACTGCCAAGTGTCGTAAAGACATGAACTCATAAGCGTGAAAACCCACCATCAACTGATGATACTATCCCGATATGTAAATCAGGGAACGTTTCCAGGAAATTAATTCTTCCCATGTGATTCTGAAACTTCAGAGAATTTTTTGTATCTTTTACTTTTAGGTTTTCATTGTCTGAAACGTTGGGCGAGCAGCTCCGAGGCAGGCCAGTCATTGAAGCAATGGCAGCTGATGAGTGCCGTGTGTGTGGAGCGACCCCCAGTCATTACACAACACAAGACCAAGATGGAGGAAAAGTTTGGGGAGCTTCTCAACAAGATGGAGTTTGAGAACAGTCTCTTGTCAAGTCATGAGTTGCGACACAGGAACGATGTGTAAGATACAAATGAACTTGATGATGCATGTGATGGGATTTGAACCACGGTCCTTCTGATTCGAAGTTGGACACTGTTATGTCTTTACGGCATATTCATACATGGTCTAAGGGAGATAACTCCCAGGAGCCTAATTCTTTGGGTAACTCTTTAGCTAGTGGAGAGTAGAGAAGAGATCTTCCAATATGTCTGCCTTCATGTCGACCATGTGCTTATAGCCAGCAGTGAACATAAGCCCACTACACTTCTGATTCCATTTGACATCAGACGCCTTGTCCACATGACCACATTTCTGGTGTCCCCCACCATGATATTGCTTGAATATTGCTAAAAGCGGTGTAAAACCATACTCACTCACTCATTCACATGACCATAGACTGCCTCTGTGGTCTAGTGGTAGAGTGTCCGCCCGGAGAGCGGAAGGTCCGGGGTTCGATCCCCAGCCGCATCATACCAAAAGACGTTAAAAGATGGTACCTGTTGTTACCCTGTCTGGCGCTTGGCGGCATGGTATCTCAGTGGGCTAGCACTATAAATCGGCATCAGTCCGGACGAGTACAAGCAGCCACACACACACACATACACGTACATGCACGTCGCTATATAAGTGCAATAATCTTGGATGCGATGTTAAACCCCATTTCACCTCACATGACCATAGAGGTTAATTCCATCAGCAAGCTGACATGGTATGGATGTCATCTGTGTGATGGCTCCACGCCTGCTACACTAGATGACAAGATGCAGACCTTATAGGGCTGTTGGATTATCTGTAGGTTGTGAACATATGCTTGCCATCATCTGCAGCACTATACCATCTTCCCCAGGTAAGGGACTTAATTGACTATAAAAGTCCAGTTTCCACCCTTGCCAAACTAGTCTAAACATTTCTGAGCTCGATCGTAGCGCCACCACTGGTTATGATAAGTTATGTTCCTTCTACGTCCCTTCTACTGACCAAACAGATTCCACCGCTCATATCACTTGTATTTGGTCCAAACAAAATGGCGACACCCAGTCAAGATGATCTGATCGCTAATCAAGATCTATATTGTGATAAAACTGGTCTTACTTTGCAAAGTGCAACAAATCTTTGAGCACTTTGATTAAAAACAGGAAAAGATTTGGAAATGTCTTTTGATGCAGAGCTGGTGGTACACATGTTTTGCACATCCTGCAATCATTTAAAATCTGCATGGCAGTTTACGAACCGGATGTCGATTTCGTTATGTGATTGACGAGTTAAGTGAGAAAGTTACAGTTTTTAACAAAACATTTTCGAGAGAATAACAAATGGCAAGAAGTGATATTAACACCATAAATGACCATCTGTCATTATATTGTCATGTCAATGTGGAAGTTACATAAAAAATCTGTCAATAGTTTTTGTCCAGGCTAGACACTTACAATAAAGGGAGGCAATTTAAGGGGAGGTAACTGTTGTATGACAATAGTTCTGTCATAGTGTTATGTGCACTGCAGTGAAATATCAAGTGTTATGTTCACTGCAACGCAAATATCACTTTTCTCAACTTCAGAAAACTTTTTCACACTGAAGTATATAATAAAATGTTTAGAACGTTGACATATTTCCTGCATTGTTGATAGTGTTCTTTCAAACAATGAACCTTTGTAATGTTAAGTGAAGGTCAAGAGCTCTCTATGTTTTCAGGTTAAGTGAAGTCTGTAGGTTAAGTGAAGTTTGTAGGTTAAGTGAAGGTCAAGTGCCATCTGTGTTTTCAGGTTAAGTGAAGTCTGTAGGTTAAGTGAAGGTCAAGTGCAGTCTGTGTTTTCAGATTAAGTGAAGTCTGTAGGTTAAGTGAAGGTCAAGTGCAGTCTGTGTTTTAAGGTTAAGTGAAGTCTGTAGGTTAAGGGAAGGTCAAGTGCAGTCTGTGTTTTCAGGTTAAGTGAAGTCTGTAGGTTAAGTGAAGTCTATAGGTTAAGTGAAGGTCAAGTGCCATCTGTTTTCAGGTTAAGTGAAGTCTGTAGGTTAAGTGAAGGTCAAGTGCAGTCTGTGTTTTCAGGTTAAGTGAAGTCTGTAGGTTAAGTGAAGGTCAAGTGCCATCTGTTTTCAGGTTAAGTGAAGTTTGTAGGTTAAGTGAAGGTCAAGTGCCATCTGTTTTCAGGTTAAGTGAAGTCTGTAGGTTAAGTGAAGGTCAAGTGCCATCTGTTTTCAGGTTAAGTGAAGTCTGTAGGTTAAGTGAAGGTCAAGTGCCATCTGTTTTCAGGTTAAGTGAAGTCTGTAGGTTAAGTGAAGGTCAAGTGCAGTCTGTGTTTTCAGGTTAAGTGAAGTCTGTAGGTTAAGTGAAGTCTGTAGGTTAAGTGAAGTCTGGAGGTTAAGTGAAGGTCAAGTGCTATCTGTTTTCAGGGTAAGTGAAGTCTGTAGGTTAAGTGAAGGTCAAGTGCAGTCTGTTTTCAGGTTAAGTGAAGTCTGTAGGTTAAGTTAAAGGTCAAGTGCCATCTGTTTTCAAGTTAAGTGAAGTCTGATGCTAAAGTGAAGGTCAAGTGCCATCTGTGTTTTCAGGTTGCGAGAAGCACGACGCAAGGAGGATGACTTTGAAGAGACGGAGGTCGAGGCGGTCACACAGACAGCTCTTGACCTGGAGGACATGTGGGAGATGGAAGCTAAACAGTTCACTCCAGCCGACCGAGTCACCGGTCAGTGCGTCTCTTGCTGAACATCTGAGCAGCATATTGAAGAGCAGAAAGTTTTGTGATCAACTGAAAATCAGTGATTTCAATGCTATAGGCTGCCATGGAGATGAGATCACTATCCTGAAAAAAATCACATAGTCTGTCTTTTTCATCCTTTCTGGGAGTTGGTGTCTTGACCCATAGGGCTTTCCTCCCACATTAAGCTGACACGCCGTGATGTAACTGGAATACTGTTAAAAGCAACTTTAAACCTAACTCACTCACTCACTCACTCACCTATAGCTATTTGAATTGGGTTAAGATGCCTGAGACAGCTCATGTTTTCTCATCGTGCACAGGACATGTGATCCTGTTGTCTTACATGTCTGAGGTATGACATTTCCCAGTGTAGAGTTGTGTCCCTTTGATAATACGATCATGGGTTTGAGTCCTTGCTTCTGGGTTTCACAAAAGTTGTAAGCATAACTGGCTAAAATCTGAAACATTGATTTGTTTCTTTTTGAATTTCAACAAAGAGTTAAAGACTGTTGTGTTCAATATCTTTTTTGAAAGTTAAATGAGAATTTAGAAGTTAGATTTTTACTCAACTATAAAGTCAACTTTCGCAATTGAAACGTATTTGCTTCATGTACACCAAAGACACCAAAGACACCAAAGAAGATATTTAACATTATTAAGAATTTAAGAATTACAATTTATATGAAAAATATTTCAGTTGATGATACCTGATGTTTCAGTTGACTATGCCACATGTTTCAGTTGACGGTACCTGATTTTTCAGTTGATGATACCTGATGATTCAGTTGATGATACCTGATGTTTCAGTTGATACCTGATGTTTCAGTTGTCGATACCTGATGTTTCAGTTGATACCTGATGTTTCAGTTGATGATACCTGATGTTTCAGTTGATGATACCTGATGATTCAGTTGTCGATACCTGATGTTTCAGTTGATACCTGATGTTTCAGTTGTCGATACCTGATGTTTCAGTTGATACCTGATGTTTCAGTTGATGATACCTGATGTTTCAGTTGATGATACCTGATGATTCAGTTGTCGATACCTGATGTTTCAGTTGACGGTACCTGATGTTTCAGTTGATGATACCTGATGATTCAGTTGTCGATACCTGATGTTTCAGTTGACGGTACCTGATGTTTCAGTTGACAATACCTGATGTTTCAGTTGTCGATACCTGATGTTTCAGTTGACGGTACCTGATGTTTCAGTTGACAATACCTGATGTTTCAGTTGTCGATACCTGATGTTTCAGTTGACGGTACCTGATGTTTCAGTTGATGATACCTGATGATTCAGTTGATGATACCTGATGATTCAGTTGACGATACCTGATGTTTCAGTTGACGGTACCTGATGTTTCAGTTGATGATACCTGATGATTCAGTTGTTGATACCTGATGTTTCAGTTGACTGTACCTGATGTTTCAGTTGACGGTACCTGATGTTTCAGTTGATGATACCTGATGATTCAGTTGTCGATACCTGATGTTTCAGTTGACGGTACCTGATGTTTCAGTTGACAATACCTGATGTTTCAGTTGATGATACCTGATGTTTCAGTTGTTGATAACTGATGATTAAGTTAACGAAACCTGATGTTTCAGTTAACGGTACCTGATGTTTCAGTTGACAATACCTGATGTTTCAGATGCAGACAAGTCTGGAGACAAGAAGTCCACTGACAGGAAGTTGGCCGAGAAGCTGGTTCTTCTGGTGAAGCAGAAAGTCGGGGACAAGCCGCTGTGGGTATTCCCCCAGGGAAGGTGGTCGGAGGGGGAGTCTATGAGAGAGGTGGGTCACAATCGGTATCATAAAGCAACAAAAGCCTTGGGTATTAAAGTCCACAGTACTGACATAGTCTGAGGCCTATCTGAAATGATATTGCACAGTCTTAGCTGCTGTGCCTACCCCTTCAGATGTCCGTGCACTTGCCAAGCTACATCACTAAACTCTCTCAGACTTGCTGGGTAGGCCCGCCCCTGTGTTATCAAGTCGGTTATTCACCGAGCAAACGCACCATGGTATGACGAACATGTGCACCAGGCAGAGTGCAAAAGTGGAAAGCAGAGAGGAAATGGAGCAAGACACATCTTGAAGTTCATAGGCAAACTTACTGCCAAGCTAGACACAACAAGCTTAAGGTCATCTGTCAGGCATTCTCTGTCTGCCTTGGGCGGTCTGGTAGCCTAGTGGTTAAAGTGTTTGCTCGTCACGCTGAAGATGGGGGTTCGATTCCCAACATTGGTACAATGTGTGAAGCCCATTTCTGGTGTCCCCGCTGTGATATTCCTGGAATATTCCTAAAAGCAGCATAAAACCATACTCACTCACTCACTCACTGTCTGCCTATCAAGCATTGAGGGAAGTAAATATAACACACGTGAGAGGCATAGATTTATTGACAAGCTGCTCGACAAGAAATCAGAAGCTAAAATGCCATTAAGCCTGGCCAAAAAGACCGATAATCAGAATTATCATCGATGGGAAGACATATTAATGATTATCGATATAGAGATTGTGTCATCGATAATATCTCACACAAACAATTGTGATAAAATAAAGTTTAAATTTACCAAAAGAGACTTGTTATTGTCAATTATGTCAATTGCCAAAGAAGGAAAGCAACTTTTTTTGTTATGAATCTAATGTCCACAAAGTAATCCATGCATAAATGTGTCACCACTCACCAGCGGCATGAAGAGTGTTGATTTCTTTCGGACTTTTTTTTTACCTATTTGCTCAAAGTAACTTCTCTGATATTTATCGATAATTGATCGATATTTAGTTAGCGATTATGGATCTCTATGATCTATATCAATAGGCAGCCCCAACAACTTGTGTTGTATGCTGCTTATAAATCTATCACTGTGTTACCTTATATTGCATCAGGTTCCTACAACCTCGGGTAAACCTAGTAACCAGGTCATCTCCCAAACTTAGGTTTTGAAATGAGTCACTTCTAAACATGCTTTCAGGTTTTTCAATTGATGTTTTATAAACTGTCGTCTTGATGTGAACACAGTATTCATTTTTGATTGGTTAAAAGTCACATTTATTTTTACATGAAAACCAAAAAGTTTAAAACCCCTTGGAAAACCTTTTATCGACTTGATATATCTTTTATATCAAAACACCCGTAGGTGAGATTCTCTCTATATATCCTCAATACTACTCCAGTACCTAACTGTGAAACCCTGTCTTAAGTCAAGGGACAGAAAACAGGAGGGTGTCTGGAGGTGGGTTTGTTCCTTTGACTAATCTGGTTTCATTGTAAAACAGTTTTTTTGTGATATAACAAAATTTGGTTGCAATCATACAACATTCATGATAATTTTTTGTTTTTATGGGAAAAATAATATTTTTGATTTACCGTATTGGACGTAATAAGTGCCCCGCTCTAATAAGCGCCCACGGCGATATTTGCTAATATATTGGCTAGTGAACAAGCCCAATTAGCACCCCTTCCGATTGATCAATGAACGCAAGACTTATTTACAAGCGTATAATACACACTCGTGTGTTATATGCACCCTTAATTATGGGCAATTAAATTCTGGAAAAATATATCTGTCGTATATAAACATTTCAGGCTGTCAGCATAAACCACGAAATTTATCTTTCAACTCTGTTTTTACACCAAAATAATATTCTTATAAGAACCCCCTATTTGTAATTTTGAGAGCGCCCTGGGCGCTTATTACGTGGATTACGGTATTATCACTGATTCTATCCCCATCACACATGCAATGGATAATTGTTTGAACAGACTGCGGAGAGAGTCCTGGGTGTCCATTGTGGGGAGGAGTTATCTGCCCAGTTTGTCGGGAACGCCCCCTGTGGTGTACACACGTACGTCTTCAGGTCAAGCCCTGAGACAGACACGGGAGTAAAGGTAGGCCTGGATGTGGATGATTCACCCTCTTAACATGACATTATTCTTCAATTAAGATGAGACATTAATTATTTCGTTTTTATGTTTTGAGCCTTACCCTAATAGAAGTCTTGCCCTTGTAGAGGCCTTACCTTTATTGAAGCCTTGCCTTTGTAGAGGCCTTACCATATAGAAGCCTTACCCTTATAGAAGTCTTACCCTTGTAGAAGCCTTACCGTTATAGAAGCCTTACCCTTATAGAGGCCTTACCCTTATAGAGGCCTTACCCTTATAGAAGCCTTACTGTTATAGAAGCCTGGCCCTTATAGAAGCCTTACCCTCATAGAGGCCTTACCCTTATAGAAGCCTTACCGTTATAGAGGCCTGACTCTCATAGAGGCCTTACCCCTTTAGAGGCCTTACCCCTATAGCAGCCTTGCCCTTACACCCTTTTAGAAGGTATGCCCTTATAGAAGCCTTGCACTTATAGAAGCCTTACCCTTATTATATGTATGAATGCTTTACCCTTAAAGAGGCCTGACCCTTATAGAAGCCTTGACCTTAATGCGTCTAATTGAGACAAACAGCAAACATACTGTGTTTTCGGTGTAAAACTAGGTCACTGTAAATTGAACCATGCTAATTTGAGTCTGCAACTGGACATAGAGCGTGATGTTTCAAACATTAAACTTCGAACGGTTAAATCTAACTATACTCAAATTGGAATACAAGATGTTATTTTATGAGATGGTTGGTGAATGAACATGATTTGTCCTGTTAACTGTGCCATCCAATGTCTGTGTAATGTCTTCACTTCCAGGGGTGGTCGGGTAGCCTAGCGGTTAAAGCGTTCGCTCGTCACGCCGAGGACCCGGGTTCGATTCCCGACATGGGTACAATGTGTGAAGCCCATTTCTGGTGTCCCCTGCCGTGATATTGCTGGAATATTGCTAAAAGCGGCATAAAACCATACTCACTCACTCACTCAAACCATACTCACTCACTCACTCACTCGCTCACTCTTTTGTTTCAGCTGTTTTTCTTCAAGGCTGCGTACAAGACAGGTGGTGTAAGGGTAGATCAGGGCAATGCTGAAGACTTTCTGTGGGTGACAAAGAGGGAACTGAAGGACTACTTGCACCCATCATATTACAGCAGTGTTAAGTCTTTCATACTTGAGATATGAATGTGTGTTAGCTGTATGTGTGTGTGTGTGTGTCATCTACCTGGTGGTCACACATTAGGTTTAACAGTATATATGGTTCTCAACTTCTCAGACATGAGACTCAAGGTGAAGGATCCCACTTCTGATCGGAATCAAACAAGGAACATTCTGTCACACCGGAAGATCACTCTTTCAACTCTTGGTTTACAAAAAAAAAATTCAAAAAGAATTAAGAGCAACAAACAAATTTGAAACATGTTTAAGTATTTGTTTGCCGAGTGAAATAAAAAAAGTACTGAAAATGATGATTTTACCTAATGACTAGTCAAAGTCTTATCAGTGCTTCCATATTTTATAATCTATTTAATTAGCAAAATTGAGGGAAATTAAAATTTCTTTCCTTCTCAATATCTTTAAGATCAGATCTTTTACTCTGATGAAGTAACTTTCTCCATAGAAGGTTGTGTCAGGTGAACACTTAATGACCTTGACCCCCCTGGCTAAAATGAAAGCAGTGTGGGCTCTTGAGAGAATCAGATGTCAGCTTTCTATGATGATGAGGTTCATTTCATGGTCATCTCAGTTCAGATATTTCAACAAGTAACCCATGTTGGACACAAATGCTTGTCCTCCCTTTATGGTGTAGAAGCCAGGCCGCTCAGAGACGACAGGGTGTATGACATATCCACAACATAATGGGACGTCCTTTGTTATGTACATTTGGGTAAGTTCGTTATATAGATACTGAAATTAGATATGTTGGTCTGAATTTAGCAGTCTCGGCGCTCACTGGCTGATCAGAACAACTGAACCGACATCAAGTTGAGGTGTCCTCAGATTTGATTTTTATGAGATTATTTCCTTGCGAAACAATGGGGTCAATGGATCGGTAAACAAGCAATTAAGAAGAACCCTATTTAATCTTAGCATGATAAGAGAGAGTTAGAGAGAGAGAATGAAGACTCCGAACATTTTTTATTGGTTCCTCTCTGTGTGTCATCATGATTTAACTGTGAACATTGGCATTTGTGTTGTACTGTAAATAAAGAATACAACAATAGTACAACCTTGGACTTGTATTTATCACATGAACCTTCAGACAACAGCCGACTTGTGGAGGATGTGGAAACTGGGTTCCGACAGGGCTGTAACAAAACACTTTCTTGGGATGCAGTTTGTCTCTGTAGTTACAGGGAAATGATATATCACACGATAACTATTCAGCTGTGAAGTCATGCCACAACTACCTGAAGCACAATGAAACAACGGACATGCAGAACAGCCTTCGTGGGTCAGGCCTTAAGAGTCAGACAACCAGTCAGTTTTTTACAGTCAACTTTTCAACATCGTCAACTACGACGTCAGTGGCGTGAAGCATGCACATTGTTGCCGAATTATTAGTATGGGGTGACATGTATGGAGATTAGATATTATTTCAGCTAGTTACAAAACCACATTTTTTTTTTTTAAAACTATGTGCTTGAATTTTTAAAAAAGAAAAAACACCTTGCAACAATGTACATGTGAGGGGCTTGATACCCCCTTTCTATAAGATTAAAACAATGGCTCTCTTTAGATCTATGAGGATATATGCGAAATGTACAAAGGCATTAAGGAAACTGTCAAATACTCCAAGACAATACTCCAAGACAATACTCCAGGACAATATTCCAGGACAATACACCAAATACTCCTAAATGATGTGGTCATTGGAGATCATGTCTGTTCCAGCAGCCTTGCCACGCTTTTCAGATGTACAAGCAACTACACCTCTTTCGCAGTTGTGGTTGCAAACGTTTCAGGGTTTTGTGTTGAGAATGGATGCATCATCTACTGAGGCCACCAAAGTAGTCCCCCCCCCCAAGATGAGACAATGTACCCTAGATCATGCAGGGTTGATACACCATCAAGTCAAATATCCAGTCCTGCTCATGGGAGTCTCGGATTTTCGTTTAGAGTTAATAATTCTCCAGAAGCAAAACTGTCTTGCTTGACCACTGTATAAGGGTCTATACCGAAACGTAGCCTTTACAGTATTAAAGAAGTTGTTATCCATATATTGTGTCTACTTTGTAATTCTCCAGAAGACAGTTTGGTCAACTTCAGCCAACTGCTCTGTTTCTTCGAGTGTTCTCAAGCGATGTTCCTCAATGTGCTGTAAGATATTTTACTGTAATCCTCAGGTTGAAGCTTCAGCAAAGCTTGAGTCTTAAAGCTAAACTGTATTGGTCTCTGATTGCGTACACTGAGGGAGTCGTCATCTAGGATGTCGCAAGACAACATTAGATCCTATTTGTCCAGTGGCACAATGACATGATCAATGAGAAAAGTGTGAGTCCGTCTGAGGGAACAAGAACTGGACGCTGCTTTGCATATCTGAGAAAGAGTGATAGCATGTAGACTTTGAGTGAAATTAGGTTCAGGTACCTCTGCTTTTTTAGAGTCTGCTGTTTAACTCTCCGATAAATATTTCAGTTCCTCTAATACTCTTCATCTAGATTACACAGTTTATCAATATAATCAGTGAACGGAGATTGTTTCGTGATTGAAGATACACTTGAAAAATGTAGATACAAGTCTATCGTCTGTCAAGGTAATAACAATAACAAACTTATCCAATCTTCGTTGCTAAAGTATGACAACGCCGCCGTTGCCTACAATACTACATGGGGGTGTTTTGAGGTCATCGTCGCAAATGCCATACGCAGATCAATTTTGTATTGATATAATCCAGAAAGTCCAGATCAAAGAACAAATGCTCACTTCATACTCCTGTGCATTTCGCAAGGAATGTCCCCATCCAAAAGGATCTTGTTTAGTAATGAAATTGCCACCAGGACATCAGCAGTCACCAGCCCATGGTCAGCATACATGCCAATGTCCACTCCCAATGACGAGTCTCATCTTACTATAAACACACAGCTGAACTCTAGCTTCATGGTGCTGATTAGCCTTGCTCCAAGTCTGTACTGAATGATACATCTGTGGATGTATAGTCATTTTATCCTTATATTGGACAAGTCTAGATCAGCTGACAGTACACCGGTCTTTTGAAGGGCCAACTTCGTATTATTTCAATAATCTTGGAATTTAAGCAAACCATCATTGCCTCAGAGACTTGTGCGAGTCTAGATGCTGATCTGCCTCGTGAAAGGGAATCATCTTTATGTTGGAACTCGGGAAGTACAAAACATATGAAGTGACGTCACATGTAACCAATATATGCTAAAATGGTCAGACATTAATTCAACTCGTGTGTTTCTTACAATTCGTAATTTTCTACCTTCTATCATCAAAGTGTGATGACATCTGACGTTCGTCAGTGCAATTCTATAGACAGGTATACAGTGTATAAGCAATAGATAAATCAACCACATAATTCACCTCTTGCTACGATGCAAGGAGAAAAAGACAGCCATAGACTTGGGCTGCAAGTTTATTTCTTTGTTGACTGCGTTTGGTACATTTAAGTAGGTAGTGTTTTTCGCTCGTCACGCTGAAGACCCGGGCTCGACTGGGTACAATGCATGAAGCCCATTTCTGGTGTCCCCCGCCGTGATATTGCTGGAATATTGCTAAAAGTGGCGTAAAACCACACTCACTCATTCACTCCTAGTCTCTGATGTAATGTAGTCGGTGGTTTGGGGATGAATGGATTAGAAGGATTGACTCTACAACCCATATTTCACTGTTTTATACGACTACTGGCTCGATTAATGTTTACAACAATTTGCAAACAAGAGCTAGAGGTATATCCTGGTTAAACTGGTAGAATGGGGCTAGTCCGAGTGTTTATAGTCCCTGCAGTTTTTCATTGTACGATAAACAAGGACCACGAGTGTTTTATTTCTTACATGTGATATCAGCATTATGTGCAGCCTCTAAGGATGTCAGTGAAGTGTACATTTAAAAAAATATTTACCCGTATGTAAATAAATAAGGATAAATCACGGAATACAATCCGAACTCGGCAATATCGGACAAGTCCATTTTATGAACAGGTGGGTTAAGTTTGGTATTTCCCGGTTATTCTCACAATTTTCTGTACCTTTTTCCCAAATACCGTTTGTCATATCTGTCCCACTTTGGATGCGATCGCTGGGTCATTGCATTTGTCTACGTTGTACAGCTACATCTATGAAAACAACTCACTAGACACTTCCCTTTAAAAAAATAACGTCGTCCAATTTACGACGTCATCAAGTTGCGAGTGCATGTTCGAATGTCCAGAAATGACGTCATGATAGAACAATGTTTTATCGAAAAATAAACCACACTTTGTTCTTCTTTATTCTCCTTGCAGTGTTTTATTTGTACGATGAACAACACTCGTTTATTTCTAAAATAATTATATATGTCCGAAACTAGTATTGTTGTATCAGCCATGGTCCATGCATTTTTCTTCTTCTTCACTTGATTTGCCAAACAATCCAACATTCGTTTTGTCCCTGTTAATCCTTAGGTTACGTTTCACATTAAAGGGGAAGTGTACACGCAAAAATCACTTTCTTTCTTTTTCTAAACAAAACGCAATTTTAGAATTAATTAGTATCTGTGTTTGAAAATATACACTCATTTTTTTCACAGTGAACGTAGGAAGCTCACAATAGTGTGAAAATGATATGCCGTTATGAGGCCTTCGTTTTTCGAGCTAAACAGGCCTGAGTTATCCCCCTTAGATTATGACGTAATTGGTGCCAATTCAACTGGGTCCCTGTCTATTCTCAACGCAAAAGATATCAAGTACCAGTTTGCGGTAAAACAACATGGCCTACGACACACTCCGGCGCAGTGGTGACTCAGCATAACACTATGCTGGCTGGCATCTGAGACGCTAGAATCACACACCTAGACCTACACCACGTGAAGCGGCTCTAACAAAGCATGATGACGTCATAATGTTATCAATTGGCACCAATGACGTCATATTGCAAGGGGCATAAGCCATGGTGTTTTTATTGTGGAAATAGAACACTTGGTAAATGTGAAAAATATAAATCGTTTTAATGCGAAAAATATGTTAATTAATTGTGATATTTTTATATTTTTGTTTATGACACTTCTATGTTAACACTTTTAATGTGGAAAAAGTACACGAAAAATAGGTTCATTTCCGTGTGAACTTGCCCTTTAAATACTCTCAGACCATCAAGTAACGCTTTTCATAGTGTTGTCATAAGCAAACAACAAATGACAAATATTCAAATGTTATAGTATTACCATCAGGTTTGAAATAATATTGAGAGATCATTGAGGAATATATTAAACAATGTTGAAGATAAAATGCACCCTTGTATTCCCCAATGTTGAATTTAAAGGATTTTGAAAAACCCTTGGCAGTCTTAACACAGAAATATCAGTTTATAGTTATTATTATATAAGTGGCTGTAAATAGTGCGTGCGAGCGAGCGTGCGTGCGTCCGTGCGTGCATGTACTATCTTCTCTTCTCCTGGACTTGCTATGAGTGAGTGAGTGAGTTGGGTTTTAACGCCGCTTTTAACAGTATTCCAGTTATATCACGGCGTGTCAGCGGGAGGAAAGCTCGAAGTGATGCAGGTCTTAGACGTTTACCACTTCGGTGAAACCCACGAGCACGGGTATGGTGCTGACAAACCTAGAAACATAATTGGGGCGAACCGGGATTCGAACCCACAATCATAGGTTTCTGGCCAAGCTCCTCACAGCGATAGTACGTTCCCGGAGCTCTCTATACCGAGAGTGTAACGAAGGTGTCACGCGCTGGGAAGGAGCTTGGTTTCTGGCGTGCCAAGGGACGCAATTCTGCACAACGAATCGCGGCGCCTAAGACGACTGGGCCACCCCTGCCCCCGGACTTGCTATGAACTGTTTTGAACAAAACATAATTTCATCTGCAAGTACTGGTTTATTAAATTGTTTGTAAGCCTTTGGGGATCAGCATAAACAGATCCTTCTGAGATAAAATTCTAAGTTTGATTAATAGTTTTCAGGTTTCTGTTTTGATAGAGTTTCCAGTTCTAGTTTATTTTGTTTATGCACATTGTTTCCGTCTGAATAACTTTTTGTATTCTCTCTTTTGT